TCGTTATTAAAAGTTGCAAGAGCTTCACGGATTGAGGGCGGTTGGTTTTCAAAATGTGGCTCTCGCCTTAGCGCCGCGCACATTCGATTTTCAAACTTTGCAAGGGATTCACGGGTTGAGGGCGGGTCGTTGTCAAGATGTGGCTCGCCATAGCTCCGCGCGCACTCTTGATCCCCAATTTGCAAGAGCTTCGCGGATTGAGGGCGGGTCGTTGTCAAACTGTGGCTCTCGCCTTAGCGCCGCGCACATTCGTTATTAAAAGTTGCAAGAGCTTCATGGGTTGAGGGCGGGTGGTTTTCAAAATGTGGCGCTCGCCTTAGCGCCGCGCACATTCGTTCTTCAAACTTTGCAAGAGCTTCACGGGCTGAGGGCGGGTCGATTTCAAGATGTGGCTCGCCATAGCACCGCGCGCATTCTTGATCCACAATTAGCAAGAGCTTCACGGATTCAGGCGGGTCGTTTTCAAACTGTGGCCCTCGCCTTAGCGCCGCGCACATTCGTTTAAATTTTACAAGTGCTTCACGGAGTGAGGGCGGGTCGTTTTCAAACTGTGGCTCTCGCCTTAGCGCCGCGCACAGTCGTTTCAAGCAGCTGCCAGAACGTCACAGATCGAGGGCGCTTCGTTTTCAAAATGTGGGTCTCGCCTTAGCGCCGCGCGCATTCTTGATACAAACTTGCAAGAGCTTCACGGTTCACATGATCAGCGTACCAGAAACCGTTTTTGGGAAGGACTCACGGTTTTGAGGGCGCCGCAATTACGATGGTTCGCGGAGTTGAGGTCCCAAGAATGGGTTCTGGCACGATCCAGGATCGTCAAGACGCAACAGTCAGGTTTATCCGTGGCGTTGGAATACCGATACATAATGTTTTGGCATGCCTCAAAGTCTTCAAACAATTTTTCCCAAGGAGGCAAGCCCTTCTGTGGAAGTGAACCGTTGTAGGGGCCTATGGAGAGGGAGCTTGTGGGAGGGTTTAATCCAACATCGTTGGTGACTCTTGGGTTTACACTGGTCCTCCTCCTCCTCTTCCTCCATCCTTCCTCCTCCTCCTCCTCATTCTCCTCCTCCTGCTCCTCTTCCTCCTCCTTCTCCCCCTGCTCCTGCTGCTGTTCCTCCTCCTCCTCCTCCTCCTCCTCCTCCTCCTCCTCCTCCTCGTCTCCTCCTCCTCCCTCCTCCTCCTCCTCCTCATCCTCCTCCTCCTCCTCCTGCATCCTCCTCCTCTTCCTGCTCCCTCGTCCTCCCGCTCCTTTTCCTCCTCCTTCTCCTCCTGTTCCTGCTCCTGCTCCTGCTCCTGCTCTCCTCCTCCTCCTCCTCCCTCCTCATCCTCCTCCTCCTCCTCCTCCTCCTCCTCCTCCTCCTCCTCCTCCTCCTCCTCCTCCTCCTCCTCCTCCTCCTCCTCCTCCTCCTCCTCCTCCTCTTCCCCACATCCCTCTCTCCCACCCCACCTTGTGTGTTCGTGCGCGTTCGCGTTCGCGTGCGTGTGCGTGTGTGCATGTGTGTATGATACCGATTGTGTGTGTGTGTGTGTGTGTGTGTGTGTGTGTGTGTGTGTGTGTGTGTGTGTGTGTGTGTGTGTGTGTGTGTGTGTGTGTGTGTGTGTGTGTGTGTGTGTGTGTGTGTGTGTGTGTGTGTGTGTGTGTGTGTGTGTGTGTGTGTGTGTGTGTGTGTGTGTGTGTGTGTGTGTGTGTGTGTGTGTGTGTGTGTGTGTGTGTGTGTGTGTGTGTGTGTGTGTGTGTGTGTGTGTGTGTGTGTGTGTGTGTGTGTGTGTGTGTGTGTGTGTGTGTGTGTGTGTGTGTGTGTGTGTGTGTGTGTGTGTGTGTGTGTGTGTGTGTGTGTGTGTGTGTGTGTGTGTGTGTGTGTGTGTGTGTGTGTGTGAGTGGTGTGTGTGTGTGTGTGTGTGTGTGTGTGTGTGTGTGTGGTGTGGGTGTGGGTGTGGGTGGGGGTGGGGGGTGTGGGTGTGGGTGTGGGTGTGGGTGTGGGTGTGGGTGTGGGTGTGGGTGTGGGTGTGGGTGTGGGTGTGGGTGTGGGTGTGGGTGTGGTGTGTGGGTGTGGGTGTGTGTGTGTGTGCGAGTTGGTGCGTGTGGTTATGTTTGTGCGTGTGCTTGTGTTTCGGTGTTTGTGTTTGCGGTTGTGTGTGTGTTTGTTTGTGTTTGTGAATGTGTGTGTATGTGTGTGTGTGTGTTCGTGTGTGTGTGTGTGTTTGTGGATGTGTTTGTGCTTGTGATTGTGCTTGCGTGTGTGTTTGTGCTTGTGCTTGTGTTTGTGCTTGTGTTTGTGCTTGTGTGCTTGTGCTTGTGTTTGTGTTAGTGCTTGTGCGTGTGCTCGTGTTTGTGATTGTGTGTGTGCGTGTGTGTTCGTGTTCGTGTTCGTGTTCGTGTTCGTGTTTGTGTGTGTACCAACCTTCGGACAGTCCCTGATCAGAGCTCGAGAGCAAAACACAGTGACAGCCTGTACGTCACTGCAGGCCCAGGGGGCCTGCCCCCACAGGACCACTGAAGTCCGCTCACGAGCACACTACAGAATGTCATACCCCGAGATCCCCCAGGGGACCGCCACGGTCCCCTGAGCTGGGCCCACCCACAGGGCCAACAAGGCATCCAGGCCCAGGTCCAGCACCCTGCGGAGATAGAGGTCAGCGAAGGGAGCGGGACCACGGGATCCCCCCGACCAGGCGGCCGCCAGGACGACGCGGGACCAGGAGAGGCCAACGCGGCAAGCCGCAGGCGTACGGGTCGCTCCCTAGGCTGACGCCTGTCGTCAGATGCTTCCCCGCTAAGAGGATGTCGCGCCTCTTGCGCCGCGCCCTCTCTGCGGGGCTACAATCCTGGGCGCTGGGCGGGGGCCCAGCGCAGCCAGCCTGGAGTCGACGAGCCCCACGAGACACGCGCGCTCCGCACAGACGGCACAGCACGAATTTACCGCGCTTAACGAGCTCATGGCCCGGCCCGTGCACGAATACTCCGGATTCCATAATAAAGAAGGGGGGGGTACAGTTGGCGGGGGGGTCTGATTTGATCTGTCTTGAAGGGCTAGGGGGGGTCTGGGCAAAGTGCCGCCCTTTCATGGATGGTCTGGGGGGGTCTAAAACTTGTGGCCTGGGAGGATTGTGACCCCCTCCCTTTTATTACGAACTCTGGAGTTTCCTGGCCCCAGCCGACCCGCCCGCCTCCCGCCCGCCCTCAGCCGCGGGATCGTCGGAGGCAGGCGGAGGACACGGAGGGGCAGTTGCCTCCCCAGGCGCTCCACCTCAGGCCGGCGGCCCTTCGCCACCGCCGCGTGCGGTGCGGCGCACCCTGGCCAGCGGCCGCTCACTCGCTTCCGGGAAGGGGTCGAGGCCTCTGGGGGTCAACGTTATGAAAAATCATGACGTCGGGGATCCGGGTGAAGGCCAGCGTGGAGGGGAGCGTCCACAGCAGGAGTTCGCACGGCATGGGCCGGAGAGGGGGGCGGCCAGGGGGTGCACTGAAGTACGAGGATGGCGCCACGAGATCTGGGGCGGTCCCTGGGGAACGGGTCGGGACCTCTGGGGCTCGACGCGACGCCATCCTCGCGCCGGCGGACCGCTCGCCCTTCGCCCACTGCTGCTGACGCCCCGCGGCCCAGCAGCAAGAGCCGTCCTCCACGCCCCGGCCTGCGGCTGCGCGCCCCGAGACCCGCGCGCGGCAGGACGCTTGGCCGTCGAGACCCCCCCCCCCCAGACCGAGGAAACACCCAGACCGAGGAAACGCCCAAACCGGGGAAACACCCAGACCGAGGAAACACCCAAGCCGAGGAAACACCCAAGCCGAGGAAACACCCAGACCGAAGAAAAGCCCAAACCGAGGAAACACCCAGACCGAGGAAAAACCCAAGCCGAGGAAACACCCAAGCCGAGGAAACACCCAAACCGAGGAAACACCCAAGCCGAGGAAAAGCCCAAACCGAGGAAAACTGCGTGGCCGTCGCAGCCGCAGCCAGCACCCGCGCTGCAGAGGCCGCCAGCGCCCCGTGGGCCACGGCCGTGTGAGACGCCGACGGAGCCGTCCGAGAGCCCCCGAAGCCGTCTTGGAACAGACTCCGAACGCTCCCGAGTCGCCCCGAAGACGGGGCTGGGCGCTCTGGGGGCCGATCTGGAGACGCCGACGGAGCCGTCCGAGGGCCCCCGCAGCCGTCTTGGAACAGACGCCGAACGCTCCCGAGTCGCCCCGAAGACGGGGCTGGGCGCTCTGGGGGCCGATCTGGGGCCCCCCAGGGAGCGACCTTGGCGCCCCTGGCACCCCCCCGTTCTGGTTGGGCTCACGGCCACCAGGCCTCGGGGCCAGGTCCCCCGTCGTGTGCATATGTTATGCTTGCCTTGGCCCAGCAAGCTCAGGCTGTGATTCGCCTGCCTTCGGCTTGCCAATGGTTTGCTCTTGGTCTGCGCCACCTGCTGTCAAACATGCATGTCTATTGTCTATCACTTGCCTTCACATTGCCTGTTAGCTTATCCCTGGCTTGCATTTGGCCTGCCCATGGTTTTACTTGGAACTGCTTTGAACTTGTTCACGTCATGCTTAGAGCTTGCCCTTTAGCTGGCCCTTATCTGGGATTCAGCTGGCACGAGGCTTCATGCAAGCATCATTTCCCAGTACATTCAGCTTGCTTCGAACTTTCTTTTAGGTCGCTTCCCTTGCGTCTAGTTTGCTGTGAGATGTCTCTGAAGTCGCTTTAGTATTGTATCCTAACCCCCCCAAAGACGGCCTCAAGACTCGCTGGCAGCAGCAAGACATTCTCAGACACCTCCGGAGCCACAAATAACCACCCCAGCGATCCCATGAAGACCCCTAAGAGGCGTCCGGCAACCAGGAAGAGCCATGGCTATGCCACGCTACAGCGTTGCCACGAAGCGTTCTTAAGCACAGTAGTGGTGGACGTGCGAGGCAGCGCAACTAGGAGAACCCAATGTACAGGTTTGAGGGAAATGGAGATCACATAACAATTAACCAGGGTATGGAAGGAAGCACGGGAGGCTTGCTTGCGCTCCTCGTTATCGCGTGCAGCTTTGATCTTGGCCTCCTCCTCGATCTTGGCTCTCTCAACTGCCTCTCTGGCGGCAGGGGGGGAGTGCCTTCTTCTGCTTCCATCTGCTCCTCCAGAATATTCCATCCTCCTCCTTCTCAAATAACCCTCCACAAGCCTTGACCCTCGATCCATCCCATCCTTCTGAATAACTCCTCCTTGTCGCACCACCAGACGTATCGGTAGGGCTGCCAAGAGTTTCGCCTGGGAATCCCCCACCATGTATCATCGTGAAGCTCGGACTTTGCAATAGCGACACGGATGGAGGGCAGGTCCTTTTTAAGCTTTCTATTTTGACCTTACGCCGCGCGCATTGAATGCAAAAAGCTTGCAACATGAAGGATCAAGGGCAGGTCCTGTTCAAAATGCGGCTCTATTCTTTGCGCCGCGCACGCTTGTTTGAAAGCTTGCGACATGTACAAGGATGGAGGGCGGTACGCTTTCGAAATGGGGCTCTAGCCTTGACGCCGCGCATGTTCGTCTGAGAAGCTTGCCACAGCTATACGGATGGAGGGCATGTGGTTTTCAAATGTGGTTATTTCTTTGGACTTCTTCAACTTTACCGGTCGAAAACTTGCACATGTGCAGCCGTTATGCTGATGGAGGGCGGCTCCTTTTCAGCATGCATGTGGCCATCGTTGGCACCTCTTCAAATGTAATGATCAAAAGCGTGTACTTGTGCAAGAGCGACACGGAAGGGGGCGGCTGCTCTTTACATCAGGGCTATCGTCGGACACCCGATTGAGCTCCTGTGACTATACCTGTTCGCACTCCGTCCAACTAACTAGAGTAGGTCTGGCGTGTCGCCCTGAAGGCGGATTTGGGACGAAAAAATCCGCCGGCCCCCTTGCGGGGCCACCAGGCTGTAGGCCGGGAATGTGCTGCTCCCTGTGCCAGTTGCAGCTTCCAGTTTCCACTGTTACAGTTCTGCTTCTTGCTGCTGACTGTTCCTTGTTGATGGACGCGCGGGGGGGGGGAGCCCAAACCAGCAGAACTACCACGCACTGTGAGGGGAGGTAAAAATTGACACCCTTCACGCAGATCCGCAGGGTCAGGGTCCAAAAACACAGAGGATGTGCCGCATTTCAGAAATTCGGTGGCACCCCTCACGCAGATCCGTAGGGTCAGGGTTCAACAACACACAAGATTTGCTACATTTCTGAAATTCGGTGGCACCCCTCACGCAGATCCGTAGGGGTCAGGGTCTAAAAACACATGCGATTTGCCACATTTTTAAATTCGTGCCACCCCTCACGCAGATCCGCGGGGTCAGGGTCCAAAAACACATGGGATTTGCCACATTTCTGAACTTCGGGCCACCCCTCACGTAGATCCGCGGGGTCAGGGTCCAAAAACACATGGGATTTGCCACATTTCTGAAATTCGGTGCCACCCCTCACGCAGATCCGCGGGGTCAGGGTCCAAAAACACAAGGGATTTGCCACATTTTTGAAATTCGGTGCCACCCCTCACGCAGATCCGCGGGGTCAGGGTCCAAAAACACATGGGATTTGCCACATTTCTGAAATTCGGTGCCACCCCTCACGCAGATCCGCGGGGTCAGGGTCCAAAAACACATGGGATTTGCCACATTTCTGAAATTCGGTGCCACCCCTCACGCCCCTCACGCAGATCCGTATGTCAGGGTCGAAAAACCATGATTGACCAAGTAGTTTTTGTTGCCCCAATCACTCGAAATATTGGTTCGGGAGACGCATCTTGGTTTGTTTGCACTTTCTCCTCACGTTGGCTGTCACGAACACAACTACGAAACATTCCCGAATACACCCCACAGTAGGACTACCCCGTACGTAAACATTCCACTGAAGACTGGAGTGGGTTTGGTTCGGTTGGCTTGATGTGGGGGGCTGGGCGTGGTCGTGCTGGGGCGTGGTCGTGCTGGGGTGTGGTCGTGCTGTGGTGAGGTCGTGCTGGGGTGTGGTCGTGCTGGGGTGTGGTCTTGCTGGGGTGTGGTCGTGCTGGGGTGTGGTCGTGCTGGGGTGTGGTCGTGCTGGGGTGTGGTCGTGCTGGGGGGTGGTCGTGCTGTGGTGGGGTCGTGCTGGGGTGGGGTCGTGCTGGGGTGTGGTCGTGCTGGGGTGTGGTCGTGCTGGGGTGTGGTCGTGCTAGGGTGGGGTCGTGCTGGGGTGGGGTCGTGCTGGGGTGTGGTCGTGCTGAAGTGTGGTCGTGTTGGGGTGTGGTCGTGCTGGGGCGTGGTCGTGCTGGGGTGGGGTCGTGCTGGAGTGGGGTCGTGCTGGGGTGTGGTCGTGCTGGGGTGGTCCGCACCCTGTGACTTATCGCTCGGGTCGTGCTGGGGTGTGGTCGTGCTGGTGCTGGGGTGTGGTCGTGCTGGGGTGTGGTCGTGCTGGGGTGTGGTCGTGCTGGGGTGTGGTCGTGCTGGGGCGTGGTCGTGCTGGGCGTGGTCGTGCTGGGGTGTGGTCATGCTGGGGGTGTGGTCGTGCTGAGGTGTCCCGCACCCTGTGATGTATCGATCGGGATTTCAAAAACAAGCGTTTCGCCTGAGACATCCTCAAATTTTAATCCGCCGGCCTCCTTCGACCTCGATATTTATCAGGGAAAGAATCCGCCGGCCTCCTTCAAGTTGGGCGCGGGGGGATATGTTTACATAGAAAAAGAGAACCCTGGGCCTGCGCCCTTTCCGGGAAAAACACATGGGATTTGCGACATTTCTGAAATTCGGTGGCGCTCCACAAGCAGATCCGCAGGGTCACGACGTCTTACCAACCGCCAGGTGTGGTAACCCCTCTGGTGATCAATTGGTTTTGCTCTTTACGAGTCAGTCTCGCATGAAGTTCCGATACTGCTTCACGGAAGCGCCCATGCCTCATGACACAGCTCTTGCATAGCGCATTATCCGAGAGAGGGGACCGGCGGCAGGGGGCGAAGCCCTTACGGATACTACTATTACAACTTCCAGCTACTACTACTACTACTACTACTACTACTACTACTACTACTACTACTACTACTACGACTTATGGTGGGGATTTGACTACTACTACGACTACTACTACAGCTACTACTACTACTACTACGGCTACTGCACACTTACCTTACTACTACACTATTACTACTACTGAACTACTACTATTACTACTACTACTACTACTACTACTACTTAGTGCTACTACTACTTACTACTACTACTACTACCACTACTACATCTACTGCAACTACCCCTACCACTACCACTGACTCTACTCTTCCGATCTACTGACTACTACTACTTACTACTACTGCGCTAGCTACTACTACAACTACTACACTACTACTACACAATACTAAAGTACTATAAGTAGTAACGCTAGTAGTATATTAAGTATGTAGTAGTCAGTAGTAGTAGTATCAGTACTACTACTACTACTACTACTACTACTACTACTACTACGACTACGACTACGACTACGACTACGACTACGAGTACTACCACTACTACTACTACTACTACTACTACTACTACTACTACTACTACTACGGCTACGACTACGACTCTGGCTGCTACAACGACGACTACTACTACTCCTATTACTACTACTACTACTACTACTACTACTACTACTACTACTACTACTACTACTACTACTACTGCTCTCAACGGCTGCTTATATACACTACTATACTAAACTACTAATACGAACTAACGACTACGGCCGCGAGATATCTAAAACTACTAACTACTATTCAACCTACTACTACTACTACTACTCCTACGACTACTACTACTACTAACCATTATTTCCTAAGACTAACAGGTACTAATACTACGGAAGCATCTCGTGGGAGTACGAGTACTAACTACAAACATGATGGACCCACGAACCCGGAAAGGGATATAGACATGTGGAGCATGGGCACGTTTTCACGATACCCAACGGGGCAACACCTCACGAAACATCCACGAGACACCTCACGAAACATCCCACGAGACACCTCACGAAACATTCCGCGAGACACCTCACGAAACATTCCAGGAGACACCCCGCGAAACATTCCACGAGACACCCCACGAAACATTCCACGACGACAGGCAACCACTCAACCAAGGCGGTGTGGTCGTGCTGGGGAGTGGTCGTGCTGGGGTGTGGTCGTGCTGGGGGTGTGGTCGTGCTGGGGGGTGGTCGTGCTGGGGCGTGGTCGTGCTGGGGCGTGGTCGTGCTGGGGCGTGGTCGTGCTGGGGTGGGGTCGTGCTGGGGTGTGGTCGTGCTGGGGTGTGGTCGTGCTGGGGTGTGGTCGTGCTGGGGCGTGGTCGTGCTGGGGCGTGGTCGTGCTGGGGTGTGGTCGTGCTGAGTGTGGTCGTGCTGAGGTGGGGTCGTGCTGGGGTGTGGTCGTGCTGGGGTGTGGTCGTGCTGGGTGTGGTCGTGGCTGGGTTGGTCGTGCTGGGGAGTGGTCGTGCTGGGGTGTGGTCGTGCTGGGGGGTGGTCGTGCGGGGGTGTGGTCGTGCTGGGGGGGTGGTCGTGCTGGGGGGTGGTTGTGCTGGGGCGTGGTCGTGCTGGGGCGTGGTCGTGCTGGGGCGTGGTCGTGCTGGGGTGTGGTCGTGCTGTGGTGAGGTCGTGCTGGGGTGTGGTCGTGCTGGGGTGGGGTCTTGCTGGGGTAGGGTCGGGCTGGGGTCGGGTCGTGCTGGGGTGTGGTCGTGCTGGGGTATGGTCGTGCTGGGGTGGGGTCGTGCTGGGGTGGGGTCGTGCTGGGGTCTGGTCGTGCTGGGGTGTGGTCGTGCTGGGGTATGGTCGTGCTAGGGTAGGGTCGTGCATTTCGCTCGAGACATCCTGCCAAAATTCCAGGAAATCTACAAAAACAAAGGAATAAGTCGAGACATCATCGAAATTCCTTCGCGCGGGGCGCTTTTCCGCGTCGCGGTCGGCTCTGCAAAACAAGCGTTTCGCTCGAGACATCCTCGGCAATCTCTGCGGAGCAAGCGTTTCGCTCGAGACATCCTCAACACACGAAAAAGTGGCCCGCAACCTGTGATTTATCGATCGGGATTTCAAAAACAAGCGTTTCGCTCGAGA